CTAAGATGAGTGGACTTTCACCCCCCGAAATCTGGGGGGTGAAGTCCACTCATCTTAGTGCCCAGGTTTGGACAACACTGCCCTAGGCAGAAGAAAATTGCAAACTATTTCTGAAATCTTACCAAGAGAACTGCAGGCTGTAGTCCAGGTAGTCACCAGGAGTCAAAACTGACTCAAAGGCGCACATACACATGTACTTCAGTACATAGTTCTGATCTACACACTTGTCTTAGAATTGTGGGCACAAAAATTGGTGTGCATCAGTATTTGCAATACTTGACTGCTTCAAGCATCCTCTAGATGTCATGCAGAAAAACATGCTTCAGTCAGTATTATAGGGGGTTGGTGGTTCTTTGTTTCTTTCTCTCCAGATTGTTTATTCACACACTGCTTTCAGATAGATCAGAGCCAATAACCAAAGACAACTTTTTCCCTGGAGGCTTGGAAAAAAATACTTTGGCCCACCAAAATATAAGAGGGAAGTATTATTTTTCCCTTATATAGGTAAGAGACAGTCCCATGAGGATGCTGCTAATTTTTAGTAAACTACAAAAATAGCTGTGCCCCAGTTAAGTCTCTTAGTGGTCAGAACATTATGAATATATTACTGTGTACAGAAATATCTCAAGAAGGATAATTGCTATAAAAAATGGATTCCAGAATTCTCTTTCATTCTCTTTCACCCTCTCCCTCCCTCTCTCTCACAAACTCTTGTAATTTTAAAACTATAACAATATAGTTGTATTTTTATTGCAGGAAATAGATTCTATTTTCTTGTATTTTATAGTCATACTAATGTCATGGGAACATAGAGTCAAGTTACCACTTCTCTGAAGGATTAGGGTAGAAGAGGCAGAATTCCTATATCAAACCTTTCTGGAAATGCAGATGAGGTAATATTAAATTACACCCATTGGAAATGTTATTTGCATAAAAGCTTAGTTCCTTTGACAAGGCCCTGTTGCTGTCTGAGAACGTAAGAAAGGAGGCCATTTTGGTGTCTACCTGCCATATCTACTTCCTCCTGCTTAGCTGGAGAAAGATGTTGCCATCAGGTCTTTCCTAGCTCAACTCAGGTTAAAAGCTCAGCTCTAGTGCAGAGTGCCTGAAATGGTATCCAGAGGGCGATGTCCCATTTAATTCAGTCCTAAATCAGGTGAATTCACTGAGAGAGAAGGTGTCATAACTAACCTATTCCACTCACTTCAGTCTAATGGCAGTTTACTTAACTTAATCTGGATTGAATCCAATCCATTATACCTTTTAAAAAGTTCTACATGTATAGGGTTTGTTTTTTTGCAAAGGGACATTTGTTTTCAGTGATTAGATGTTTTATTACAAAATGTACCAGAGGCTTATACCTAAAAAGTTATCAGCTAAGACTGAATAAGTAGCCTATCCTAATAATTCATGAGAGGCAAATAGAGCCCACAGTTGTCACCACTAGGTTCCCGTCCATATGCTTTTATATTACAGTAGCAATTCAAGACATATTATCAAAATTGCGGCATAGTTACTAGCTTTTCTCTTCCGATTGCTACCCATGTATTTTAATCAAAGCTGAGTAATCACAGAAATACCACCTGCATCTCATTTTAGGGAGATCATTATTACTATATGGAGTGTCAATAATATTGCCTTGAGGGAAACGTGGAATTCAAGTTGTTTTGAAGCATATGGAATAATTGAGCTCTGAGCCAAGTCCTTACAAGGTTATAGATGTACTTTTACCCATTCATTTTCATAAAGCTCTATGATTGAATTTAGGACAGAGCATAGTGCTTTATGAAAATAAATGAGCTTTATGAAATGAATGGCTAAAGCTATATTCATTACTTCGTAAATTCCGCATACTGAGCTGGGAGAAAAAAGTAGATTTTTTTACATTAATAAAAGCTCTAAACAGACATTCATTTCTACAGAACAAGGGAAAGAGATTGACAATTATGAGATCTTTTCTTACTCTGCAACTTTATCAGCGTTAAAAGAGTACATAAACTGGGTTTGCACATAACACAAAGCCACAAAATATTCCATACACTAAGTGATTGGACTCACATAAGACATTAAACCAAAATCAAACAAAAACCATATGATGGCTTAAAAAAAGTATTAACCATAGTTCTTGGTTGAGAACATATGAAGCTGGTTTTGATGCATCAGAAGATCCAGAAAGACTTGTGGTTTGAATTTTTATTTATATATTTGATAGAGTTATAAGTGTACATAGCATTCCCTCCTCTAGTTTTTCCCCAGAATAACAATTCTGTTGTTGGCGTGAGAGAGGGTGACTAACTCCAAGTCATCCAAAGAGCTTCTAAAGCTGATGGTGGACTTGAACCTGGGAAACACTGGTCCTAGTCCAACACCTTAACCATGACACCACACTGGATCTATATTTCTGATGAAAAGTATAAAGTGGGCATCTATGTGTTTTCCTGATGACAAGATGAAGAGTTCAAAATACATATTCTATTCAGTTTTTAATTTCTGCTTCTTTTATTTCCTTTTCTGAGATGTCCTTCTGATCCTTTTAATGCCAAAGTAAAGAATATGTTCCCCATTTGCCTATGGCTGCTAATTATTTCCACTCCTGACCTCCCCATATTGGTATGGATCAAACAAAATTGTAAACTGTACTCAACTGAATGTGGTGTGTGAATTGGGTTCCCATTTGCACGAAACAGTGTAACTATGTTCAACTAAATCAAATATGAATATAGTGTTTTTCCATCTTCTCTCCATGTTTACATTTTTATAAAACCTGAGTAAGGCTTAAGTCTTCATTTCCATGTGGCTCTTGTGAACTTGCCTTCCTAAGCAGATTCATCAAAATCATCATAGATTTAGAAATTGTTAGTCTCGAAACTTCCATCTTCCAACTTCCAATTTGCTGCCCTTAACCATCGTCCAGTGCATCAGTAAATCCTAACTTTTGTGCTGTGAGGTTTCATTGCAGGTTGTTTCTATACTATGTTGTGCTCTTCTTCTTTGCTGTAAGAATTATTTACTTCATAACGTCATTGATCTCTGTATGAAACAGCTAGGCCAACAGAAGAGATTAACAACAGTTGGCTAAAGATCCATCAGATTTTATTCCTTATATAAGTAAAGATGCTGTTTTGCCAAACAGTACATTGTGCAAACCCGTTTTTCGGAATCTACATTCAAGTATAATTCCTGTGTTGCTTAAAGAGTTTTCTTTTCTCTTTTTGTTCTCTCAGTAAATGCATTTCTGAGGAAAAGCTTTTGCTTTTTTTTTTCTAAGAAAATTAGGCAGCAAAACAGTGCTGAAATCTTTTCGTACATTTGAAGCAGCCATTGCTGTATGACAGTAATTTTTATTAATGTAAACAATGTTTTATATTCCATTTAGTTAGCAATTTGAATCCATACCATACAATTCAATAACATTACTATACAGCATGTGAGTCCACTGGAGTTGGACGGCCAATGAATTTAATCATCATTTGAAAAATATTTGTAAAAACACATTAATATGTATATAGGGTTTTAAAGCTGGTTTGTAATATTTCTTAAATTTTATCGCAATCAAGAGGGGCTCTGCCTGGTTTAAATGACTAGCACAACTGTACTATTTAGGCTCAACCCAGGTATTTTGCTCCCTACCCTAATCTTATACTTCAGATATACTATTCAGTGAAGCAACAGTCATCATACTATTTTTAATTTATTCAAAGATGTATCTCAGAAGGGTTCTATGCAAATAAACATTTTAAGCATGTTTTCCTTATACATGTTGAAGGAGAAGTGATGCTAGCAAAAAGAAATTCTGGCAAGAAGTTAAACTTCTGAAAAGGGATAATGCACTAGTGTGTAAAGGTGTGGCTTTCATCTTCAACACCACAAAGCCTTTACATGTTCTTCTTGGGTGCTTTAGTTTTATCCAAAAGCTGGACAAGGTTCTATGATTTTTCTGAGAACAACCAGCTAAATATGCATTAAGCTTCACCATAGTAGCAGAGGAAGGGAAAGTACAAAGGTTGCAGAAAACAAAACATTAATTTTCTTGACCAGCTG